AATTGTGTGACCTGGTGGTTGAATGGTGACCAACATGAGAGATTGGGGTTGTATGTGCAAGGGAGTGTCAGCCATGTGTCATGAGCACTGTGGCTTTGCAACTGTAGGTGTGGTGGAATTTTTAAAGTTGATGTCATTGGCAGGGATTTTGTTTTAATTCATTCATGGGATGAGGGCATCACTAGCCAGATCAGCATTTATTGCCTGTCCCAAAAGTCAACCACATGCTGAATCACATGTAGGTCAGACTAGGTAAGAATGCCAGTTTCCTCCCCTAAAAGACATTAGTGAATGAAATGGGCTTTTCCTGACAATCAACAATGGTTTCATGGTCATCATTAAGTTCTTAACTCCAGAATTTTATTGAATTCAAATTCCACCATCTGCCATGGCAGGATTCAAACCCCAGTCCCCAAAACATTACCTGGTCTCCAGATGAAAGGTCCAGTGACAATATCATTAGGGCATGGCATCCCCTTAAACGCAAAGTCACTATAGTCCCAGAGAGGCACAGATAAGGCTACTTTCTCATTGAAGGAGAGATGACTGGTGGTGAGTTTAACCTGATGGTCATCACATCTCAGGCAAGGAATGAGGTTGAGAAGGAGAGTCCTTTGTGGTGACCTCAGCTCGTCCAGAAATTGAGCTTGCACTATTGGCATCACTCTGCATTACAAATCAACTATCTAGCCAACTGAGCTAACTGGCCCCCAAGGGGAGCCTGTCTTTCAATGGATATTTAATGAATGACCATTATGGCACGTGTTAAAATGGGGCAAGAGGTATGCCATAGGGGTGGGGTAGATAATGGTAACGTAATTACCATGAAGCAGCAAATGGTCATGTCCTAAGACTATGACGGTATTCAAAGTGGAGATGAATGATTTCAGAAAGAAATTGACAGGGCATTTGAGTGAAATAAATTTGAGTGCAACCCACGCAGATAAAGTAGGGGAATGTAACTGATTGGATTGCTCTACAGAATGACAGCATGGAGTTGTTGGGACAAATGGCCTGCATCTGTGCTGTTAATGATCCTATGCAGATAACATCTCTGCTTCTCTTCTCATGGCAGCCCATCAGCTTATGAATGCTCCATGATTGTTAATTGGTGGAGATGGGACTTCCATTGCTCACTCAAGCATTGAGCATTGTCAGGGTTTAAGGGTCTGCACAGGAATGAGTAATTGTTGGGGATGCATAAGGGATGAACATTGTAGCAAATGCACAGGAGGATGACCATTGTCAGTGAGGCAGATTTCTCTGCATGGGTTTGATTTCTCTGATATAACTCTGACTGTTAATTGCGATCTTACATCTGAGATTAATTGTGGGTGGGTGGGGGGGAGGTTAATATCCAGGTAAATGGGGTGCATCAGCATTTGAGTCAGTTTGTGAGACTGTCCCAGAGTGAAATGGGTAACGTAATTCTACCTATCAGAAGTTCAAGCTTTGTTATTAAATACCTTACATGTGCAGCTGTTGGCACTCACTCCAAATACTGACACAAATGTCGAGCAGTGTCTCAACATTTACCTCTGCTGTCATTGCAGGATCTGGGCTGATGGACAGATCGAGAGAAACTTCTCTGATAGGAGAATCCAGAAAAAGTGGAATCACTAACAATAGAACTAGGCTGTTCAGTGGTTTTCTGTTTACACAGCGTGTAATCGAAAATCTGGAACTGTGTTTGCAAGTAGCCATTGAGACTAGTTCAATTGGAAATTTGAAACTGATAGATTTTGCATTAAAGGTTATTGAAAAAGGTGGGCAGATGATGATACAATACAGAATAGTCATAGAGTCATGCAGGACGGGAATGATCTAAGTTCATAGTAGAACAGACTCAAAGAGCTTTTAGACTCCTCCTATTCCTGTAATCCTATGGTCCTGTTTTTTCTCAATGTATGTATTCTAGTTACAGTTTAAAAACTATTTGTTAGTAAAATGGTATAAAATGTATGTTACTGGAAGAAGGAGTTTATTGTCAAAAACAGAAACACCAGAACTATTCATACAGCAACACATTTCAGACAATCTAATAAGATAGGTCAAATGAGGACAAATGACTGCAAAAGATTCTATAATATCAAGTTTCTCATGCTGTGATTACACACAAGCAGACTGCCAAATTATATCACTAGGCCACTACTTAACACTTCTAGTTACGCAGCAAATCTAGACAAGAAAGGCTAGGAAAGGGGAATGACTATCACGTGTAGGGTTTAATTCTTCAATTCTGCATAAACTCATCATACTAATGGTGATAATTGTGTTCAGAACACAACAGGCTCTGAGAAAGAAGCACAACCCTAAAGTGACAGACCTAGCAATTGTTCAGCAGATCATATATTTATAATCAGGCTCAATAAAATGTGTTGAAGTCATCTCTTGTTCTTCATTCTATAAATATTTACTATAAGCCACAGTAATAATGTAAACTTTAAATAAGCAATTCTAAGGATTAATTTACTATTTTGCATTGATGCATGGATGACAGAATTAATTGTACAGATTAATAAATTATTGGTATGCAAACTTAATCCATTACAGAGAGCACCAGGATTAGGAGCAGGAGTAGACTCTTCAGTCCCTCAAACCTGTTCCACCATTTGATAAGATCATTGCCAATCTGATTGAGGGCTTGACTCTGCTTTCCTGTCTGCCTCACCTAACCCCTGCCATCCTTGCTGAACAAACGTCTAACTTAGCTGTGAATGTATTCAATGAACTAACTTCCACTGCTCTCTAGGGTACACAATTCCACAGACTAATGTCCATCTGAAGGAAAGAATATCTTGCTCATCTCAGTCTTTAATATGAGACCCCTAATGGCCCCTGTTTCGAGACTTCCCCACAAAGACAAGCATCTGTCCAGCTTCCAACCTGTCAAGTCCCCTTAGGATAGTGTGGTCCCTGATATTCCAAGGATTGGCAATTGTAATCAAATCCTTTTGTTTTCACCTTAGTACTAACTTCTGCATTTCATGGCTCCTTCAAAATTAGGAAGTGTATCTGAAATCAGTTACCTCCAATTGCACGGTAATTGAGGAAGGTTAAACCATGTTTCCTTTTGCAGCAGTCAGTGAACTGTGTTTGGAGATTTAAATCATCTAAATACTCTCCCCAGCCTATTCAGCCTAGTCCTGTAACTCAAACCCTCCAGTCGTGGCAACATCCTTGTAAATCTTTTCTGCACCCTCTCAAGTCAAAGTAACTCAAAATGGTATGCCTGATAATTAAAGTTGACAGGCAAGGCAACCTGCTGTGATCATTTCGATAAGGTAATATCAAAGTCAAAAAGGTTACAACAGCCCAGCCAACAGTAATAACAGATTAACAATCCAACTCTCTAATTACAGCATGCAGTCTTTTTATAGTGGCTAAAGTGATTCTTCCAAATCCACTCTGTTAATACATAGAGTTCATATAATTGCAGAAGCAGTGAATAGGCTCATGAGTTAAGGAGGAAATTTAGCCTAGTTAAACTCCAGCAACACCAAGAAACAGGCAGGGAATTAAGTATTGTGTGTCTTCAACTTGCGTCTAAGCTCTGAGCTTCGGTAAATAGAATACATCCTGACACGATGACACTATACAATCATACTTCCACATTGGTTGATTTCAACACTTTAAATAAGGTGTCAAATGCCTCGGTGTGCAAACACACAAGTGATAGGTTTCCTTTAAAACAAGTTAAGGTTATTTGCTATTTAATGAATTAACCAGACAACTGACTAGTACTCACAATATTGAACCATTAGACTTACAACTGGAATTGTAAGAAAGAAAGAAACAAAACAAACACTCAACATCAAAAAGAAGCATTTTGCCAAAATGATGTTTTACGTCTCTTACTTCCAATAAAATTGTACACAAGTAATTGGAAATGTTGTGTCAAATCATAAATCAAAACATCAGTGTTCAAAATATCAGCACTTTTTGGAATAACATGTCTACTGTTTACATTTTGATTTGACAAACGTAGCACCAACACTTTATGATTGTTTTCTTCTTTCTAATAGCACAATCAAATTGGTTTCATCAAAATTATAATTCATCCAAGCTATCATTGTTGGAAAATGGCCAATATTATCTGTTTCAAATGTAACTTCAGGAATCATTTGTCCTTTGGATGTTGTCAAAAGATAAAATTTGTTTAAAAACAAAATAAAACCCAAGAGAATAATAATGGAAGGAGGCACAGCCATACAAATGTTTATTTTTAAACCCACGTCACAAGACAACACAATTTACATAAATTCTATTTCAATCAAAACAGGAGATGGATTAGAACAGCCAAGTATTGTCAGCATCATAGAAAAGTGTTGATTTAAGTGTCCACTCAGGTCATCAATACAGTGGTATAGTGAATCAGTCATACCTCAATTAAATTACACTTTATATCTAACATACATTTCACATTTCATCCAATATGCCAAGCCTAAAAATATTTTTACTAAGATAACAATGTTAACTGTCGTCTGTACAATGGGATTTGAACAGTTAGTTCAGTATAGTAACCTGGCAGCTCACTAAAAAGCTGACTGAAAAGCATTCCATGCAAATTATCACTATGATACCATAATATGAACAGTCTTGAAGTGGGCATTGTTCTGCAGTTTGGACAGCAAGCAATATAAAGGTTGTTCTATGCAAAATGCAGAATAATCATTTTATTTGAAATTATTTCTGCAAGCTTCAAATAAAGAAAATAATGGATTGAACACAATTTGCCAAGACAAATTTTGCATTATTTCTTGGTTACAAATTATGCACAAATATGATCAAGCATCAAAATGGCCACTCAATCAGAAATATCAATATTTTCTAAACCCAATCATTGTTGTATTTTGCATTTATGTTTCAGAAAGCTTTGATGGCTTTAGACTTTATCAAAGCATATGAGTAAGAAGGTCAGATTATCAACACACTCTATACTCTTTCTTATTACTATATTTATTCAATAATAAAATATTGTCATCTCCTGTGACACTTAGGTAATCAAGATGAAGCGTCAGCCAGATAAAGGAGAACAAAAGGATTGGAGGTAACTGAACCAGGATACACATCCGATTGTTTTAGGATTCCTAAATGTTCTGCTATTACTTCCTTAATAAAGGATCTAGCATTTTCCCTCTAATAGACACAAGTACAACAGACCTATAGTTTCCTGCTTTCTGAACTCTCCTTCCTTGAATAGTTGAAAGCTTTAACTAATTTGCAATTTTACTAGTTGCCTAGGATTTATTCAGTTAATGTGCCAAAAATAAATAATATATTCATTTAATCACCAAACTAATTTAACATTATATCACTATGACACATTAATACTGCAAACATAAATATAAAAGGAGATATAAAGTAGGAACCAAGTTCTTATGAAGCAAGCACTAAGATATGAATGAATCATTTCAATTATAAGTGAGGTGGAGGTTGGTAAATTGAAGCACTCAGTGATAATAAATGATTAAAACAGAAAAGTACCTTGGACTAAGTGAAAGTTGCTGTATGCAAATTATAGAGGTGTGTAGGAGGCATTAAGCTCTCCTTACATTGATAATAGTTCAGAAAAGTGTAACTCCTTTTGTAAAAAATTTGAATGCTATATTCTTACATTTCTTGTCATAATTAAATTTTAGTCATAGTCCTGTTGGTGGAACACTTACCTCTGAGTCAGAAGATGAGGATTTAATTCCCACTCCAGCATGGTTGTCACTTCAGTGCAACACTGAGTGTGCATTATCCAAGATGACGTGTCCCAAATGAGATGTGAAATTGAGGCTCCATATGCTTAATTGGATATAAAATATCCCATGTCTATTTTAAATAACAAGGTGATTATCCTTAGTAATCTTATCAATATATTAATCAACATCACAAAAACAGATAATTGAGATATTATCACATTGCTATTCATAGGAGCTTGTGTGCAAATTGGCTGCAAGGTTTCCTACTATAACAGGGACTGTACTTCAAAATTCCTTCATTGGCTTAAAGCACTCTGAGATATCTGATGATTTTGGAAGGAGCTTTATCATTGTAAATCTTTCCTTTTTTACAGTATTTACAATACAAACACAAAGCACAAGTTAGGAGTGTCTGGAATATCTGCAGCCTTTTGGATGAATGCAGGTACAATGAACTTCAAGCTGTCAGCTTGAAGGGCACCCTTTCATCAGCTTCAACAATCCCTCCATGACCTGCACATGGTACTAGCAGTGTGTACTATCCACAAGATGCACTGCAACAACTCACCATGGCTCTTTCTGTGGCAGCTTCCAAAGCTATGAGCTCTAAAACCAGAAGACAAGGGCAGCTGACACATGGCAACACTATCATTTCCAAGTCCCACTGCTGACCTCGAAGTATTTTGCCATTCCTTTCCTGGGTCAAAATCCAAAAACTCGTTTCCCAGTTCTCCTCAAGTAAAATTAGGGATGAGCAAGAAATGCCGGCCTAGCCAGAGTTCCGCACATCCCCAGAATGAGTTAAAGACGGCAATGTTGTATGGTAAGATTTTCAATACAGTGCTTCTAGATATGCTGAGGTGAAGCTACACAAGTCACTGGCATTGATAACATTTGTCAGTAACTATCAAATGAATTAAATTTTCTGAAGGGTCCCGACCCAAAATGCCAACTTTCCTGCTCCTCTGATGCTGCCTGGCCTGCTGTGTTCCTCCGGCTCCTCACTATTATCTCTGACTCCAGCATATGCAGTTCTTACTATGTCTATCAAATGAATGATTTTTTTTGCCTGGATACTTTTTAAAAATATTTATGTTGATTTTGCCTATTTGATCACAAAGTATACACAAATGTTTGCCTTCAAATATGTTATTAACATGCACGTGGTTGCTACAAAAATGGAGGAGTTGAGATCCTCTGACTATTTAGCCCCTTGTATAATTTAGAGTTATGTCCCAATGAACAGTTGTGCTCCCTTCATTCATTATTTAATCAATTGCTGTTATAACATTGTACCGTAATTTCAAAGGATATTGTTTTAAAATAAAAAGTTTTTGCAGTGAACATGTGAACTTAAGTGCAAACCAATGTTGATACTTCAGTGCAGTATTGTGAATGTTCTGAATTATCAGAGGGTCTGTCTTTCAAATAAGATGTAACAGTCACATGGTACTATTTAAAGAAGAGCAGGAGAGTTGTCCTTACGTTACAATCAATAATATTCATACAACCAATGGTACTAACGCTGATTTGGGTGAAATTTAATTCTGACAGTAGTGCAATAGTACATTAGCAATGTGCTTTTTCTTTTCCAATAAAGTCAACAGGGCTGGAGATAAAAAGAGCAACCAGTACAATATCACCTATTTGGCATTCCGTCAAAGTGGAATCTGACCCCTGTTATCTAGTCATGTAATTCCTTGTTGATTGTGGAATGTATTTGTGGACAAGTGGACTTCCATATTACACCAGTAACTATATTACGAAGTATCTCAGTGATTGTGAAATGTTTTGTGATAGCCTAAGATTCTTAAAGGTGCAACATAGGCAGAAAGAGAGATGAGTTCCTATAAAGGTAGTTCAGGCAGTTAGGTAGGAAGTTGAAAACAGGACATCTATGATTGTAATCTCAGGATTACTTTCTGTGTCACATGCCAGTGAGGCTAGGAATAAGAAGATAGTACAGTTAAATAAGTAGCTAAAGAGCTGGTGTAGGAGGGAGCGCTTCAGGTATGTAGATCATTGAGATGTCTTCCAGCGCAGGTGGGCCCTGTACAAGGACAGGTTACACCTAAACTGAAGCAGCACCAATACCCTGGAAGGGAAGTTTGCTAGTGTCACTTGGGAGGGTTTAAACTAGTGTGGCAGGTAGGATGAGAACCAAAACAGGAGATCAGCAAGTAAAATGACTGAAGAGGAGTTAGAGACTAAGGCCAGTAAGACTAAAAGGAACAATAGACAGAGGGAGGTTACTGAACATAGTGTGACTGGCAATCTGAGGTGTACTTATTTTAATGTGAAGACTATGACAGGATCTGATTGAGGAATATAAAATGTTTTAGGGGATTGATAAGGTGGACATTGAATAGATGTTCTCCCTTGCTGGACAGTCTTGAACAAGAGTTTATCGATATAGAGTGAGAGGAGTGTTCGATGTTGAGATGAGGAGAAAATATTTCACTAAAAGGGTTAGAACGTGTAGAACTCACTGCCCCAGAGTGCAGTGGAGGCAGAATCAATCAACAAGTTCAAGAAAGAAATTGATATGTTTCTGATGAGAAGCGGGATAAAGGGTCGTGGGAAGCAGGCAGGAGGGTGGAGTTGAGATGAGAAGGACAGCCATGATCATGGTAAGTAGTGGAGCAGTCTTGAAGGGCAGAATTGCCTACTCCTGCTCCTATATTCCTAAGTTCGTATGTTCCTGTGTAAGACAGATGAACTTAGAGTTTGGATTACCACATATAACTATGATGTTGTAGCTATTACAGAGACTTTTTAGAGAGATGGGCAAGACTGGCAGCTTAATGTTCCGGGATTTAGATGTTGTGTTACTGATTAACAAGAATATCACAGTTGTATTGAGGGAGGACATCTTGGAAGGCTCATCCAGTGACACCATATGGATATGGGTACAGCTCAGGAATAGGAAGGGTGCAATTACTTTGGTGGGATTGTACTATAGGCCTCCCAACAGCCAATGCGTGATACAGGACTTACTTGGGGCCAAGGGCTTGGATGGGGGTGACTTTGTTAGATGTGTCCAGGACAGTTTTTTGAAACAAAATGTAAATAATCCAACCAGGGAAGGGGCCATACTAGACCTGATATTGGGGAATGAGCATAACCAAGTGATAGAATTTTCAGTGGGAGAGCATTTCAGGAATAGTGATCATAATTCTTTAAGGTTTAAGTTACTTATGGATAAGAGTAGTCCTCAGGTGAAAGCACATAACTGGGGGGGAGGTTAACTACCACAATATTAGGCAGGAATGTTGGAATGTAGACTGGGAGCCATTGTTAGAGGGTATATCCACATCTGGCATGAGGAAATATTTTAAAGGTCAGTTGATTATAGTTCAGGACCAGCATGTTCCTGTGAAAATGAAGATAAGGATGGCAAGATTCAGGAACCTTGAATGACAAGAGAAATTGAGATCTTAGTCAAAAATAAAATGTAGACATACATAAGGTTTAGGAAAGTGAAAACAGACAGAGCCCTCAAAGAATACAAAGGTAACAAGAAAGAAGGGATTAGGAGGGCTAAAAGGAGCCACAAAACATCTTTGGCAAACAGGATTATGAAAAATCCCAAGACATTTTATACATATATGAGGAGAAAGTGGGTAGATATGGAAAGAGTAGGTCTACTCAAGGACAAAGGGGAAATTTATGCTTGCAGCTAGAAGAAGTGGGTGAGGTCCTTAGCCAATACTTTGTATCCGTATTCACAAAGGAGAAGGACATGGTGGATGGTGAGACTCAGGAGGGGTATGTTGATATTCTGCAGCATGTCAGTATCAAGAAGGAGGCGATGTTGGGTGTTTTGAAAAGTATTATGGTAGTCAAGATCCCAGGACCTGATAAGATCTGAAGGAGGCAGGTGAGGAAATTGTTGGGATGAAATTTTCATATCCTCATTAGTCACAGGAGAGGTCCCAAAGGACTGCAGAATAGCCAATATTGTACCTTTGTTTAAGAAGACGACAGGGATAATTTTGGAAATTAAAGGCTGGTGAGCCTTACGTCAGTGGTAAGAAAATTATTGGAGAAGATTCTTAGGTAGAGGACTTACTCACACTTGGAAAAATGTACACTTATTATTGACAGGCAGCATGGCTATCAAGGGCCAAAGATGATTGATGAGGGCAGAGCAGTAGATATTGTTTATATGGATTTTAGCAGGGCCTTTGACAAGTTCTCCCAAAGCATGCTGATTGTGTTGGTACTGTGCCGTTAAGAGGGACTTGTTCTGTGCTGTTTCTCTTGCAGAGTGATGTTGCCAGTGTTGGTTAAATTTTCTCTTCAGAAGCAGTCAGCTAACAGCTTTGATCTCCCTGAGTGCTATGTTTTCAATTAGACA